GATTTACAAAGCAGACTCATCTAACTTAGTCCGCATGCCAATCTAATTGTGCCAAACCTTACTAAGTGGACAAGAATTTGAAGTCATTTCAGTTGCGAACACCGTGAAACGATATATGTTACTTTGCATGTGTTTGTATATCATTTATATATAGAGTTCCGCCACAATATTTATCAGTCACTTTTCACAGAAGAATATACAGAAATTTTGGCAAGGTTGCATACATCTCAATAATTAGATACCATTTGAAAAAAAAAATCATAAAATTAGAATCTAAAGGAGGAATTAAATCAATTATTAAAGGATACCAATATTGAACTAGTGAAAAATTGTCCATATGAGGAATTAGAATCCAAAGTAGAAAGATCCTAAGAGAGAGAATCCTAATCCTCCATAAAGAAAGGAAAAGAAACATCAACTACAAAAGAACTAACACCACCCAAAGCACACAGCAGCACCTGCTTAACTGAAGCAAGGAACAAATCACCAACCATGCTCATGCCACATTTATGACCTCTAGAATCCACCAACCACCATTTTCCAACCTCAAAATGCTTTATCTAAACATCTCAACAATGAATTTCTATTCAGAAACCATTATGGACAAGACAGGACGACTAAACATCTTTACAACCAACAAGGACTAATCTCTCTAAGCAAATTAACTAATCAGACACGAGACAGTTAGTCTACATACAATTGAGCCATGATAAAAATATCATCTGTCAATACCTAGATTCAACACCGACTCCTGACATATTCTGTTGGCAATTTTTTTCAGTCAAGGGATTCATTTTGAAAGAATCTTATGCAAAGCATAGAAATATCTTTTGCTTTTCCCGTATAATCTTATGTTTGAGTCCAAGTGTTTTGAGTTAATTTTATGTGGCACGCAAATAATCAACACCACCATGGGAATGCTCATAATATTAGGAAAAGTACCCAATTAGCATTGAATCTTTTAACAAACAACAAAATGACAAAACTAAATTTATAAGTGAATCATGAAGCCAAGTAAATTCTCCATGCAAACTCAAGTATATGATACAACCAGAGTTTTACAGTGCAGATATGTTTGTGCATGTATGTATTTATGCATTCAACTACATATGACTATGAAGGCTCTCCACAACCAAAGAAAAAGAAAAACATTACAGTGCAGATATGCTTCTGCATGTATGTATTTATGTATTTAACTCCACATAACAATGAAAGATCTCCACAACCAAAAGAAAAGACAAACCTCTCCTTCAACAAATCTCAACCGAAATAAAAACACAGGCTGTAGCCTCTTCATTCTCCTTGCTCTTTTCTGGATTTCTTAGACGAACAACAATTGCTTTGAGATATCACTGTTATCCAAACACCGACCAAATTTGAGTATAACCGTTATTGCTTAAAAATTAAAGATAAAGACAAAATAAATGCAGAGAACAGAAGGGAATTTCCTCAATCAGAGATGTAAGAAATCTATTAAGCAGGAAACAAGAAGTCCGACTCCGCATATAACAAAGTCAAAAGAGAACCAACCTGCCTCTGCTTATTAGTATTCTTCACCTTCACCAGCTCTAGCAGTATTCTTTGGCTTCTGGGTTTCTTCTGCTAAATGACACCCAAAAGCAGCATAAAAAATTTAGTAAGTTAAATCAACAAGAATATAAAAGTGCAGTTGCCTTCCATGCATGGCTAAAAAATTCTAGTTAAAGAAATTTAAGAAAGTGAAGAAACATGAAGCTTTGTTTTATACTTGAAAACATTCTGTACATCTTACTTTCTATATTCGCGTATCTAAATATAAAAACAAGCTTGATGGTTAAAAATGGAAAAGAAAATAACAATATTCTTAGTACTATTCTTCACCTTCACCAGCTCTAGCAGTATTCTTTGGCTTCTGGGTTTCTTCTGCTAAATGACACCCAAAAAGCAGCATAAAAAATTTGGTAAGTTAAATCAACAAGAATATAAAAGTGCAGTTGCCTTCCATGCATGGCTAAAAAGTTCTAGTTAAAGAAATTTAAGAAAGTGAAGAAACATGAAGCTTTGTTTTATACTTGAAAACATTCTGTACATCTTACTTTCTATATTCACGTATCTAAATATAAAAACAAGTTTGATGGTTAAAAATGGAAAAGAAAATAACACTAAAAATGAGACATGAATTTGAAAATAATAAATGATATCCTAGGCTATGTTCACAATGAATTCAAAGAAATGGTAAATTCATTTACAAATCTACATTTAATTCAATGAGAAGAGAGTATAAATTATATCAAATATGATAAAAATTGAAAAAGTCTGGTATGCATTATTCCAGTTTCACGTAAAATTCCATATAAGATCAAACCTTATAATTCTAGGAAGGATTTTCAGCATCTTCTAGTTCAATTTAAAAATGAATTCCACTAAATTCTGAAATTATTACAAACATATACCTAATCTTTTCTAGAAAACTTAACTACGTATATGATGCACTAATACCAGCTCTTCCACTAGAAAAACCAAGATACAAGGAAACAAATGAAATTCAGATCGATATAGGAAATTTTAAATTCGGCAGAGAAGTCTAAAATAATTAGCATCAATTCTCAAAAGAAATCAGGCATCTAAAATTGACACATTTGGCAGTCTATAGAACTTGTTTAGTAGGAAGCAGATACATCAACCAACCATGTGGTAGTGCAAAGACTGAAAAAGATGTAATGATCTAAACATAAACTACGGTCGTGATTCAATATGATAAAAACCTGCTTAAAATATGGAGAGTTTTCATTCATGAAAAAATTAATGGTGACTAACACAGGATAATGAAAGAAAGTCATCCACGAGGGCTCAATTATTTACTCTGCATGATGCTTAAAAAATTATGTTGATGAACAACACTGCAAACTGGAAGTTTAGTAGGAAGCAGAAAATTCAACCTACTATGCGGTAATGTCGAGACTGAAAATGATAAAATTTAAAGCCTCAGTTTAACATGGTTAAGGGAATTGGCAAACAGAAAGTTTGAGTGAAATAATTTAAAACCTTCAGGATATATGTATTTGTTCTAAAACTTGTAAGGTGAAATGTACTTTGACTTTTAAGTTATGTTCTCATAATCATTTCATTCCTAAGTGCGTAAATGTGCAACAAATTATGTCTGTCAAATTAAACTAATATAAGTAAATTTGCTAATCTTCTTATTTTATTATATTTTTAATCCATAAACTTATGGTACATTTTTTTTGTTAGGTGAAATGTACTCTGACTTTTACATGTCCAATTAAACTTCTATATTTTTAATCCATAAACTAAAGGTACACTTTTTTTAGAAATTCTCTGTAATATAAAATCAATCAGTAACTTCTGGACAACTAACCCCTTTATTCCATTTAAAGTTTAGATTCTACAATAAGAAAAAATATTCCTTTGCCTTTCCCCGTTTTTTAATATGATTAAATCTTCCTTCTGTGTATACGTGCACACTCGTGTATGTACAACAAGTCAATCTTAACTATTAAAAAGGAGTAATTAAACTTATTGTTTATTTTCATTCCTAAGTTACACTAGATGGAACAGGAAACAAATTTTACATGTAAAATGCATATTAATGGAGGAGAAAATGGCACCAAAAACAGAACATCTGAGTTTTCATTAAAATTTCAATTCACCCTCAAAGATTCAAAATGGACGCAGAAAACTTCAAAAACTTCAAACTTTTCAACTAATTTCAATTAAGCTCTGTAGAAAATGCTGTAATTCTCCATTCTATTATACAAAGTAGAATAATCCTAGTAGGTGAAGTGTCATTCTTCTAGAAGGTGAGGTGGCATAGTAACAACAGAAATCTGTTATCCTCCCTTCCTCACATTTTTGAAAAGATGTTTGGTTTTCTTCTATAAATAGCACATTTTGGCGCCTGAAATTAATAAAAGAAAAAAGGGAGAATTTCTTCATTAAATCTCCATTCACCAAACTCTTCATGGTATCAGAGCTCTGATCCGAGAGCTTCTTTATCTGAGTCAGAATTCAAATGGCCACAAACGAGCTCAATTCCTCTCCTCCCGAAGTCTCTTCGAGTTCCTACCTCCCCGCAACTCCATACCACAGCCTAGTTGAGCAGGCATCATCGTTCATCACGGGGCACAAACTGAACGAACAGAACTACCTTCAATGGTCAATCTCCATCTACTGTTTACTCACAGCAAGGGCCGCAACGATTACCTCACCGGTAAAACTATCCCTCCCGCAACCAGCAACCCAAGTTTCCACGTCTAAAAAATAGAGAATAATATGGTAATGTCGTGACTCATTAACTCAATGGTGCCTGACATTGGTGAGAACTTCATGTTATATGAAACAATGAAGGAAATCTGGGAAGTGGCTCGCGAATTATACTCCAGCAAAGATAATATCTCTGCCACCTTCGAGGTGGAGTCAACTCTCCATGAGCTGCGTCAGGGTGAGATTTCTATTACCCAGTACTTTAATTCACTAACCTGAAGCTGACAGCAACTGGATACCTTCGAGGAGCATCAATGGAGTTGTCCAAATGATGCTCAGACGTTCAGACTCTTTGTTGAGCAGAAAAGAATCTTCAATTTTTTGATTGGACTCTTAAGTCTGGATGAGGTTCATAGATGGGTGCTGGGAATGAAACCACTACCTAGCATCCAAGAAGTGTTCGCAGAAATCCGGAGAGAAGAGAGCAGGAGACGGGTGATGATGGGAGAAGTTCAGCCTACCTACTCTGCTGAAAGTGCCTCTGCACTCACCACGCGGTATGAATCCCGTGGAAAGAAGGGAAGACCGTACTTTGATCACTACAGGAGACTTGACAACGTCCGCAAGAAATGCTGAAAGTTGCACGGGAAACCCAGTGAGAATAAGATCGAAAGAACAGAGAGCAATGGAAACTGTCAAAGAAATATTATTGCTTCCACTGTTGAAGAAAATGTTGCAGAAAGCAGTCCGTTCAATGCTACAAAAATGGAGGTCCTTCAACAATTATTCAAGTAGAATTGTTTACCTACTCAGCCCGTGCATGCTTCGGTGGCACAAAAAGGTAAAGCAGCAATTGGTTTGACAGCATGTTCTTCAAAACATGACAATAGGTGGTTGATTCTGGAGCATCAGACCATAGGACGGGCAATGTATCCCTATTTCAGAATTACAAAACATCATATGAGAATTTCACAATTAAAATTGCAGACAGGTCAATCTCCAGAATGGCTGGAGCTGGTTCCATTGTTTTAACACCACAATTGACCCTTCATTCAGTATTTTATGTACCAAAATTGGACTGCAATTTACTATTGGTTAGCAACTTTTTGTTGATCAAAACTATGTTGCTAAATTTAGTTAAAAAATGTGTGAATTTCAGGACTTGAAATTGAGGAGGATGATTGGCAATGCTAGAATGCACTCAGGCTTGTATCTCCTTCAAACAAACCCTTCTAGAAGACAAACTCAAACGGCAGTATGTACAAACCCTGTTCTGAGAATCAATCAAATAATGATCATAATATCATATTATGGCATTATCGCTTAGGTCATCCAAACTTTTTATATCTACAAAAGATGTTTCTCTTGTTATTCAGAAATAAAAATCCACTTTTATTTCAATATGAAGTATGTCAAATCTCTAAACATAGTCGAAACTCTTTTACAAGTTTGTCATACAAGCCTTCCAAAACGTTTGCATTAATTCACAGTGATGTTTGCGGACCTTCCAAGGTTACCAACATATCTGCAAATAAGTTATTTGTATCCTTTATTGATGATCACATTATAATAACTTGAGTCATTCTAATGAAAGAAAAATTCGAAGTATGAATCATTTTCAAAAGATTCAATACTATGATCCAAACTCAGTTTCATACCACTATACAGGTACTTAAAACTGATAATACTTATAAATATTTAGAAACCACCCTTGAGAAATACTTTGAGGAACATGGCATTATTCACCAAAATTCTTATGTATACATCCCTCACCAAAATGGCATAGCCGAATGAAAAAACAGACATTCTTGAAGTCGCCAGATCCATTATGTTCACTACCCATGTTCCTGAGTTTCTTTGAGGAGAGGCAATACTCACTGCGACTTATCTGATAAACCGAATGCCTTCTCGTTTTTTTAATTTCAAATACCCTATGATCTTCTCTCTCAAAATTTTCCTGATTCACATATCTTACACTCACTACCATTTAAAGTTTTCGGGTGTTCTGCTTTCGTTCATATCCACTCCCATCTTCGATAGAGAAATTTGACCCAAGTGTCCTTAAGTGTATCTTTGTTGGATACTCATTGAATCAAAAAGGATATAAATGTTTTTTTTTTTCGGATACACGACGATTTTTGATATCATTTTCTTTGAGAACCAACCTTTTTATCCCACTATTGATATTCAGGGGGAGCATTCTACTCAG